AGCACAACCTGTGAGGTGAGGCCTAGGCCCAGGGACTTCAAGAACAGCCTGACCCGAACCAAGCTCCCATGCGGAATGGGGAGAGCTGTGAGCTGCTCATTTCTCACAGGCCTTCAAACCTCCCAGGGCTCGGCCTCTTGGTGCGCTCTAAAGCAGAGCGCAGGACCCTGCCGCACCCCAGCTCTGGAAGAGGCAGGATCACTGGTCCTGGGTGTTTCTATCTCTGAAAACAGCACCATCACCGACAAGTCTGCTCAAACACAAAAAGCATTGCTTTTTTTGTCAGCTGACTCTTCTAGCCTCTTCCTCTGCTGGGCCCAGCAGGAATAAACCCTGTATGTTTTTCATTTTAGGGTAAATTCTAAGCCACTGAGAAGCAGATGGGGAAAACAAGCTAAGACCTGATGGTGCCTCTGGTCCCCAACATGAAGCTTGTCACTATTAAAACCAGAATTTAGTCCTGGATTTCAAAAGAATACAGGAAAGACCAATAATTAAGCTCAGCACTGGTGGGATTACTTTTATTGTAACAGTTACCTCTCAATGCACCGTCAGTAAGAATGAGAGCACTCAGTTCATGCTCTTTTCCTACTGAGGACACTGCAGATGATGGGGAGCTCAGATTGGCGTAAAGGGCTTTCATCAGTTAGAACTTAATGAGGTCAGGAATCGATAAACCCTAAACACTATGCCCAAACAACTTTCTTTCTGGAATGCTTTATAGTAACCCTGGCAGGACTGGCCTATATGCCCACAAACTCATTGAAAAAGACTTTGGTTCTTTTAAAAATTCTTTCTGGGGGCAGCTAGGTGGCACAGTGGATAGAGCACTGGCCCTGGAGTCAGGAGGACCTGAGTTCAAATTCGGTCTCAGACAAGATACCTGACACTTACTAGCTGTGTGACCCTGCACAAGTCACTTAACCCCAATTGCCTTGCCAAAAAAAAAAATTCTTTTTGGGGTTGTTATAAGGTTTTTCTGTTATCTCTGGGGAGCATAAGGAGAAGGTATAGCTGTAGTCATCTGTGAGGGAGCCAATATATGTGCAGCCAATTTTGAAGGAAAACTTCAGGGACAGCAATTTCAGGAAAATGGAGACTTTTTGACCTGGAGAAAATCTTCAAAGGTCCTCATTTTACCGATGAGGACACGTCAGAAGTCAGAAGAAACAGGCCTCTCACAAGGGTCTCCTACCTCGAGAAGTCCCCTCCTCCACACTGACTTTCTCCAGGCCTGGCTGATGTAACATCTCCCAAGTGGGGGAGAAGGAAGCAGAGAGAGGTCAAGAGCTGTCCCTCTCAATTCCCTCCTGTGCCGAGAGTCTCCTTCATAAAAGCCATTTTCAGCGTGTCCCAGGTTTGTAATCACACAACAGCAAGGAGGGGCCGTGGAAACGGGCTTCTTCCCTCGGCCCGGCCGGCCTGGGAGCGCAGGGCCAGCAGCTGACCGCCAAGAGAGCGGGGCACTCTGTACCTTTCTTAGAAAGAAAGCAGGCGTTGTCCTGGGACTCCCTCTGTGGCTCAGCCGTGTTGAACAGCTCGTCCCGCTCCCTCTGCAGCTGACACTGCAGCTTTCTCTCCTCCGTCATTAACCTGAGCCGCTTCACCCGGGCCCCGGAGCGCGAGATGAAGTCAGGGCGGAGCCTCTCCAGGGACTCCTAGAAAAGAGAGAATACAACAGCATCCCCTGGGTGAGAACCGGGCCCTTTCTGCTAATGCCCAGTCTGTGAGGGCAGCTGTTTCAAATCACAAAACATATTTATGTGGCCGAGGAGATCTCGTTACCAAAAATGAAACATGAAGCCACCGGGACAAGAGGAGCCACGGCAACTTGTCACAAGTGATGGACACACACAGAGAGACAGCGTGGCCCAGGAGGATGCCCTGAACTGAGAGTCAAAGCCCCTGCTTCAGAGGCTGGCTCTGCCATTTTCTTACTGTGCGACCTTGGACAAGTCACTGAAGGAGAAAGAAAAGGAGCAGGCACTGCCCTGAGAAGAAGAAGGGTGCTCCTGTCCCAAGATGGACCAAGCCAGAGGACAAGGACCCATGTCTGCAGACTCAGAGGCACAGGGGATACTTTCCAAAGGAAAAGTAAGAAGGGACTGCCCAAGACGATGGCACAAGGCCCAGGCTGTGATTTTCCGCTGCTACCCACTGACTGCAAAGGGCCCAGAAGAGAAAATCAGCAGTATGATAATAAGGTCTAAACAGTGTCTGAGAAGATCAGGTCACACAAGGACCCCTGGCTCACACGGGGGCTGAGGGCTCTGTCTTTCGGCACAGCCATAGCCCTGCACACCTGCAGGCCTGCCTTCACGAATCGTCTCTGGGCCTCCTTGTCATCGCTGGGGCCAGGCGACGCCGCCTGCAGCCTATCGCTGCCCTTGCCGTCCATCTGCCAGTTCTGCTCTCGAAGGGGCTGCCTCCAGGGCTTGGTGTCAGTCAGGGAGGCGAACCAGGAGGGGCCGGGGCCAGACACACAACTGCTCTGGTTCTCCTTCTTGGAGGCACAACTCAAGTTTTCTGCAGGAATAAACCAGGAAACCCCTACGGGAAATATTTATAAGGAGAAAAGAAAGCAAATTCTCAGTTCTTAGAGTGTAGGCGCTCCTTGTCAGAGACCTTTACTAATCATTTTTTCGCTTCTCAGGATGGCACGTACCAGAGGCCATCAGCACGTTCCTCCATCTGGCTCCAGGCAGGGCTGGCCATACATATCTCACCACTTACAAGCACAAACGTTTCCAAAGGACACACACTACGTCTGTAGCTCATTTAGGTTCCTGAAGTGCACCTGCCTACCATCCCAAAGAATGTGTGAGCCAGGAAGGCTGGAGGGACCTGAGGGAAGCCATCTCTGGGCTCTGCCCCTCCCTCCTGCCATTTTCCTCACTCCCTCTGTCCCCACCCCCCTCCTCCCTTCTCTCTCACTCCCTCCCTCGCACCCAGCCCACTTCATTCCCTTTGAGAACAGAGGTGTCCTACCTAGGTTGAACTCTCCAGGTGTGAACAAACAGCAGCAGGTGCAGAGAGGAGAAGCAGCAGCAGCAGAGGGAGTGGCAAGGGGTAGGAAACCAGGTGACTGGGGTGCCCAGGGCCAGCAGACAGGCCCCGCGGGCCCAGAAGAGGGTCTAAATAATCCCCCCCAGGAGACTGGCAGAAGGGGCTCTTAGGGTCAGGACTCTTCCTCACCCAGCGGAAAGGGGCAGGCACCTGCAGCCCTCCACGTCTGATCTAAGCTTGCCCAGCTAGGACACGCACAGCAGTGCCAGGAAACAGGAAGTGTAGAGATCACTGTACTTTTAATCTAATTGGAGGAATACTTTTTGTGAATTTTCTAACCAAACCTCCTGCCCTTCCGGGAACTGTGATGTTAAGCCAAAGGTGAGGATGCTTAATGCCACCAACAAACGGAAAACACGCATTACATTGTCAAACGTTTCAGCAGCTATATGGATGATGCTGTCGAAAGGGGGAAAAGGGGTGAAAATTCCGCGTCAGGGTTTCAGACACCTCTACCAGGCACAAAAGACACCTTTCCTCCCACCAAATAATGGCTTGTTTGAACTTAAAGCTGAGTTAGTGGGAGAAATCACAGCCCCATGAGCTCGCAGGGAGTAAGGAGTCAGTGCCACAGACGCTGTTCACATGGTCTCAGACCACAAGGGCAGGAGAGGTGTGGGGGACAAGAAAGGCTGGGCAGAAGCCCAAGCTCACCGCTGTTTTTAGTGCCCATCTTGAGGGTATCTCTAGCAGGGGAAGGTCACATTTTTCATCATCTCAGCTCCTTCTTGTGACCTCTGTCAGAGAAATAGGGCTGAGCAAAGACACTGCCAGGGCTTTTGAGGACTCTCAGTGTCAGTCACTGGCATTCCTGTGGGCAGGGACAGGCTACAAGGAGCACCCTGATGCCCCAGTCCAGCTCAGACTTGAGGGATGGGACAGCATGGGGTGTTTATCAAAGTGGGAAGCCCAGAAATCCCTCTACAAGGCATCTTTCTGGAAACCAGATGGGGAAAACACTCGTCAAACACCCAGAGGAGCAGAAAGAAGGGGACGATAATAGACAGGTGGTCAGCTTTCCTTCCTCTAGCTGACTCAGTCTACTGTGTTTTGCAAGGTGGATGAGGCGGGTAGTGGAAGGGAAAAGTGGGCTCTGTACCTCTGCTTTTAGGTTGCTGGGTAGGATTAAGAACTAAAGAAGACAAGAAAAGGAAAATGGAATCCCCAAAGCAAGGAAAACAAGAGTAGAACGGGCAGAGATGCTGGTCCAATCAAGGCCCAAAGTCTCAGGACCAAGCTGTCAGATTCCCAGACCTGGGCCAGTGGTTGGCAGCAATGTCCCAGCCATGGTCTTACTGGCAATGACACTGAGAGGGGTAGAGACAGAATGGAAACACTTGAAAACTTTTCAGGTGCTGGACACAAAGGTTACCCTGCAATGGGAGGCGGTTACCTTCACGGCCGTGAGGTTTACTCTTCCTCGGCTTCTTGGTCCACAGATAAATAGTCACAGGCTTCTTTTCTTCTGAACTGCTCCCTGGACTTGAAGAGTTCACATAATAATCTACTCTTCTACCAGTCACATTATAATCTGGGGTTGGAAAAGTCACCCCAAAATCTCGAGTGTATTTCCTTGTACTTCTCACAATCTCCAATTCCCCTAGGAATAAAAGCATCGTATGACTTCATGGTCTGTCTTCCAATGCAGTTCTGACTGGTCTGAATGCAGGAAGCTTTGTCCACGTGCCCTTTCCTGGGAATTTTTCATACCACGCATTGCGGGAAGAAGCCTGTCACCACCCAACCCTACTCCCCTGAAAACGTGGGCACGTGAGGTCTCCACTGGTGTCTATCTGAGCCCCAGAGGATTTCCTGCTCCCACCAAGGAAGAAACGCTGGCATCATGGGGCTTGGCCTTGTATAAGGGCTTTATTGCGGATGCTGGTTTACCCTATAACTACTCACCTGCTGACAAGTAAGAGTTGAAATGGGCAGAAGAACTAATCCAGCCAACCCCTTTTAAAACTCACTTTATTCAAATTGCCCCAGTGAGTGATCCTAAGTCTGGGCTGGCCCATGAACATGCTCTTTGAACAGCTGCTCCTAAGACGAAGGAGGGCTACTTCAAGAGCCAACAAAAATGGGCAAAACCAGAGTCCTTCAGGGACAGAGACTGTCACTCTTTTAGCTTTGCATACCCAGAGCTTAGCGCAGTGCCTAGAATCTATTAGATATGTAATAAATGCTAACGATTGATAGAATTATCATAAACACATTACTGGAGCAATATTTTCTGAATGTTTCACAAGGAAAAAGGTAATTTCTGATCAAAGTTGGGGAAGTGCCTAATACCTCCCATTTCTTTCTTGGGACAGATGTCTCTATTCAAGCCACACTTCGTCCTCCTAACTGGAAACCCTGGAAGTGACCAAAGGCCAAGGGGAACTCCCATGGGAGCCACTCACCTGTTTGAACACCCTTATTTAACATCTGGACAGTCTGCTTCTTCCTGTGGGTGGGGCTTAGACTCCAAGCACTACTGACAGTTGAGACTGAGTCTGAGGAAATAACAGAATCCACCTGCAAAGCATCACCGGCACTCAGTCAGGTCTGCCTGCATCTTCACCACCAGGTAGAGAAAGCCCAGAGGTGAGCCTCAGTCTCACGAACCCAACCTCCTATGGCCCCAAAGACGACAGGCTTCCCCTTGGTGGGGATCACCAGACGTTCCCTGGGCTCACAAAGACAAGTGAGAGAGTTGCTTCACTCATGTACTAGATAGGAGAAGAGGATTCCAAAGCATGATCCCAGAGCACCGAGGGATCTGCTGCCATTACCATGTTACACAGTCAGGATGTTTTTGCTGTCTGAACAACAAAAGTGACTTTTTAAAAGAGAATTCTTACACGCAGAAGACACTGCTGTAAAAATAGCCACGTCCCTCTGTGGATGCTGTCAGGACAAATGCTGACCACCATACTCGGTGTGGAGAAACTGACGGCATATCCTCTCTCACTTGGCACAGGAAGAACAGCCACGTTCCCATTTTGGAAAAATCCCAGGGAGAATTTCAGTCAAAGAGACCAATAACTATGGAGGGGTATGGAAGTATGAGTAGTAGCACCTACAGCACACTGATAAAGACACACTCAATTCAATACTGATACTACTGAGTGGATGCACAAAGAATTGAGAGGTGGAAGGAACATCTATAGGAAATGTGAAGTCTGCCCCTGCACTCAAATATTCGGTTCTTATACAGGGCAATGATCAAACTACACTTGCCTTGGTTTTAATCGGGTCATTAATAGAGCAAATATAAGCATGGGATCCAATGCTCCGATCTTTCCTTCCCGACAG